TTAGTGCCACAAGCATAATCTATTCCACCATAGTTACATTTACACCTAATATCTGGATCATCCCTTGAGTCCAATAGTGTAAAGTTATCCCAAACATATGAAGCTAATATATTAGATTTTCATTTATCTAATGTTGACGGTGCACGTGGAGGAAGAATCGCTTGCAAATTTGTGTCATGTGGTGGAGCTTCTGTGCTATGTATTTCACATTCATCTGTATCTACCAACATATTCCACATTACAAAAATACCAAATAGATATATTTAATTGAAAGTATTAATGCAATACAAGAAAGTAATAATATTGCACCTTTGGTTGTGGCTGTGTCTGTGCCCATGATTGCACACACAACATTGGTTCCAGATAGGGATGTACATGAAGGTGTTGAGACATAAGAGTTCATGTGGCTACACTGGTTCCCGAGAGGGATTGTGCTGTAGGCTGTGTTGATGGAAAACTAGAAAACTACAACAAGAAAAAAAAATGAACTTAATAGTCTAAGAGACGTACGACAAGATTTAAAAGGCCTTCAGATCTCATACCTTAGCATTGATTATAGTGCTTACATCTAATGATTTTCATCAAAGCTAATCCCTCAGCAGAGTCAGCACTAGATGAAGGTCACAATAATAATAATAATAATAATAATAATAATAATAATAATACAATGATGAGAAGAAGAAGAAGAACGAGGGCAAGGGTGAAGATTGCCTTGATGATGAGGGAGGCTTACAGTGAAAACCAAAGGCACAAAACTAACCAATGCATCTTCCATCATAGGGCATTTAGACATGCTATTAAGAAACATAATTTGTTGAAAGTTCCACAAGCTAGATTCTCAAGAAACACAAACGATAGATATAAACAACATTCTAAACCATTTGAAAGCTCCGTAAATCATACAAACAAACTAAAATAAATAAACACACGAGAACTGATCTTGGAGAAAAAAGGGTCAGATGCATATGGAAAAATACCATTTCTCACAGTCGACAAATGCATCTCAACCTCATACAAGAATTACGACCAATGTCAAAATTTGCAGAACATACATTAGCTAGAATTGGGAAGAACTCTCATTGAAGTCCTCAGTTTATCCACGAGCAGCTTAAAGTCGTTAACATCCCTCAAGCACTTTCAGCATGTCTAGAAGTGCATTTTCCATTACAAATAATCATTATTTGGTCCAAAATATGAAGAGGGGAAAGAGAAAATATGAAGACAGGAAAGAGAGAAGTCGGCTGTTGTTGGCTTGGTGTGCATTTGACGGAATGAGTCCAAATTTAAGGTTTTCGTTTGACAAAAAATCGGTTTTTTTTTTTTAATTGGCGGGTCGGGTTGGGTGGTTTTTGTCAGGTTTTATGGGTTAACCCACAACCCGACCTGCTTAGAATTTCCAAAAACCGACCCCACTCGGTCGGGTCGGTTCGGTACGGCCGGGTTCGGACGGTTTTTGCCCACCCCTAGTGAAAACGTCCAAAAAATGAAGTCATTGATTTGTAATGGATGAAGTCATGAATTCAATTTTCTTGGTGTTGGTTGAAGGGATTTTTTAATAATTTCACGCTTTCCAGAAAGAGTTGAATTATGAAAATTTTGCCTTACAAATCATATCCACAAGGAAAGCTATACCGAGATGTGATTTTAGGCACTATCCTCAACTACAAACTGATATGATCTTCTTGTACGAAGGGAGAGCGACTTACCCTTGTGCCCACAGAAGGAGAAATCAATTACATAGACAAAAAAGCATGGTGATGCTTTAAAGAGCTTAAGTGAGAGCATATCCACGAGACTGCTCTCGAGTTAGGGCTAGAAGTTTTTGTAACCTAAGTCATGACGAAGAAAATTTCTCAAAAACCCTGAATTCAATCTATTTTTATACAGCATTACGATGTTGTTTGCTATGTCTTTCCTTCCAAATTGTTCACGTTAATCAAGTGACATGAATATTCTGTTACCAAATTTTATATATATATATATATAAATACACACACACACACAATATAATTGTCAAACCATTTTTTACTAGACAAACCATTTTAATCCATGCTTTTAAAGTGTCATGGAGTTTCATAGTTAAATACAAGTGAATTACGTAGAATTTAAGCTAAGTAAACAATTTCATTCTTGAACTTGCTCTTTCCCAATCAAATTTCCGTATCCTACTTACACTACTCCAAAGTGCCCCTAAGCCCCTGTTTGGTACCTTTAAAAAATCTGATTAAAGTCTAAGTTAAAGTTAATAATTAATTTTAACCAAACATTTAATATGATCCACAACTTTTTGGTCATACATTCCATCAACTTTTATTAAAATCTACTGAAAATTTTATTTAATGCCTACCAAATCGCTTCTTGCAACAATGGATATAAAAATCAACTTCTATCCTTGTTGGATCTCCACCTAATTGTCAACTGTGCATCCCTATTAATGTGGTATACATTACAATATTGGACCACTATGCACCATTTATCTTGAATTTCTATCATCAAGTCTATTCTCATTCAAAAATTGGACCACTATATACCATTTTACACCGAGTTCAAATGGAACATCATGAAAATTTAATGATGAACCAACACAAAAGGAAATTCCTTTGAATCTGGAAATCAAGGACACAAATGTTGCAATCTTGTTGTAATTGAAATTGACATTGTTTCACATTTCTCCACTCTAATTGGGCCAGATATCCAAACTCCATTGCTATATATGGAACATGAAAATAACGTGTTTTTTTTATTATGAGTCACGACACACACACACACACAAACACAACACATTGTAGTCATATAAATTTATAAAATTTAATCTACAATTTCGAAAATTGAATGCAATAATTGTAAATCACAATAAATAATTATTGAATTATACTAATAAATTTTTTTTAATAGATATTGATGAGTAGTCTAGACTGTTTTGCCAAATACAAATTACCCACAACTGATTACTTAAGGCAACAAATTTTTATTCTGGTGATCAAAACTTCAAATTTCAGCCATCAGGGAAG